AAAAAAAAAAAAAAAAAAAAAAAAAAAAAAAAAAAAAAAAAAAAAAAAAAAAAAAAAAAAAAAAAAAAAAAAAAAAATATCAAGAAAATAAAAATCAAAAATTCAGCCTAGAATCCACGATGATGGGGGTAGAGGCCTCTTAAGACAAATTTTAGATCCTCTTAATCCCAGAAAGTTGAGTAATTCTCAACATCAAAAATCTACAAATCCACGCCTCCTTATCCTCAACTGAAGCCATGGATGATGCCCAAGATGAGAGAAGAGAATGCTTACCGAGGGTAATCTAGGATCTGTTGCAGGGTGGGGGTGGATGAACAGAACTGTCATCTGTGGTGAGCGTTGAGATAAGATCATTCCCTGTCTCCCTCAATAAAGCAAATTCTGAGGGTTACCCCCAAGGGTGGGATAAGACCTGTCTATGTAACACAATTAGCGCCTGCATCTAAAAATTAATGGATGCATCCCCCACCCTCGAACCCAAACCATTTTCCGATACTCGATGATCGAAGAGGAAGATGGTGAATGATGATCGTAAGAAGGAATGATGCTATAAAACCAAATGCGGTTATGGGTTTTATTTTTTTCTATTTTTAGCATTTAGGAATTTCTTTTAGAATGCATTCGAAATGTGCAGCAGGAGACAGGAGAGTCTTTCCCCTGCATTAAACTCAACACAAGTAAACATAACTCTATTAATGACCTAGCCATGATTGTTCATTACCATTTTTTTTATTTGTGCTCCATAAATATCAAACTTAATATTTATTTTTAGATTCTTTGTAAAAAAAAAATAATAATAAGACTGTAACGTATTCGGAGTTGAAAATTAATATTTAAATTACGAAAAAGCTAAAACGTTATTCGAATCTGGCAAGTCACCATTGAGAAAGGTCTAAAACACATCCAAGCACACATCCAAAAATAAATCCAACAACGTCAAAAACAGTTTGATTGCTGAAAGATATTTGAAGCAGTCTTTGATTGTCACATATAACTTTCTCCGGTAAATAAAACTGGTTTTATTTTCAAATCCACCTTCCTCAATAGTGATTCGAAAGAATTGAATAACGTTTTTGCTTTTCCATCGCTTAAATAATAAAATTTGAGGATGATAATCTCAAAATGAGAACGGTCACCCTTTATGAAATTTTAAAATTCAATGCAAAATATTAAATTTAAAAAAAAACTATTCTTACTGAAAAATTTGAAAAACTTACTAGAAGATACTAAGGAATATTTAAAAATAGCAAAACGATTAAAACTGGTACTGTGAAATAACCGTGAATACAAAACTATACTGTTTTGTAACCATTTAAAACTAGCATAGTTTCTAAATCTTAAAAATGAAGCTTAAACGGCCATTGGAGCTCTGTGGGTGTTGCGTCCTTTATGCGTGAATAATACTCCCATTGTAATAGTCTAGGGTCACCAATTGGAAAGTGCAAGACACTAGAAACTCGTGCATTTAAAGAATGAAAGAAATATTGTGGCATTAAAACCCCTGTTCTGCCGGTTATGAGATTGACTGATTAGTCTTCTCAGCTACAGCATCTATCCAACAGCACATTACAAAATATCTAGCTTCATAAGGTGGGCCTAGTTGGGGCCGGTTAGAATTTTGGTTGTTTAACCGTATTAAGAAGAAACAATCAACAAAATTTTTTTCTCACACTTAACAGTTTGAATATCATCTTTTTTTTATGGTCAACTGTTTTGGTTGAATATAGTAAAATCACAAATATATTGCTTTTTAACTATTTTTACTAAGACGTCTTTAACAGTGCACATTTCAGTTGAGCTAGTAAATAAAAAAGGAAGCTGCATCATAAACGGAACATTTGAAACGTGATCAATGATAAAATTAAAAGTAAATAGTAATTTATGTTGAAGTATTAAAAAAAGAATAATTTATGTTCTAACATTAAATGAATGAGAAGAGTAATTTATGTTTAAAAATTAAAAGTAAACAGGAATTTATGTGAAAAACTTTAAAGAAAAGTGCTACTTATTTAACAAAAAAATTATCGAATTTATATGAAATAAAAGAGTAATTTATGTTAAAAAATAGAACTAATTAAATTAAAAAATATTAATTTGTGTTAAATTAGAAAATAAGGATTTATTTACGTAAAAAAATTCAAAGAAAAGAACAGTTTATGTCGAAAACCTTTAAAAAAAAATAAATTATTGTAGTAAAATTGACTCATCTGAACTAATGATGAATTTTAAAGCCGTTTTTAAATTGAAATCGTGGGTACTCACGTCTTGCACCATAGTTTTCCTATCTTCAACATTATTATAATTTTTTTCTCCTTTTTTTGTATTTCAAATTAATTTAGTCTATTCAATACAAATAAAATATATATAACCAAAATAAATGTAAGCATAATGGTTAATGACAGGAGAAAGTGGTATTTAAATTGAACTGTTGGACTAGTTAACATTAAATTGCTACCAATATGAGTTATTGAAATTGAAAATGCTCAAACATTCATATTTTTTGTATTGAGTCTTAATTTTCGTGATTTGAAAGATTCATCTGAAATGTGATAAGTAAATTGTTCCATCGGTTATTTAAATTGCGAAATCATATGAATAAAAAAAACTACATCCTTTGAGTGTTCAACGGTTTTGGATTTTTGATTTTCAAGATATAGGGGATAGTTTACAACTGGAAGATATGGTCCAAATAGTGGTTCAGTTAATAGTACAAAATGTATATTATTATTATTATTTCTTTGTTCAATCTCCTTCACAAATTAATTGCACAAATCCTCATTTTCTCTCACCGAATTATTAAAATAAAATAATTTAATGATAAGTAAATAACATAGTTGGTTCATTAAAATCATAATTAATATAAGAACGTCTTTGAACAGGAAGTACAAATATTGGGTCAAAATAATTGTAAGTTTTTCAACTAATTTCTACGTCTGGAATAAAAAAGATGATTTATCTTACAACAAAATAAATCTTGATGAAATTTTTATATCTTTATCTTTAATTTTTAAAGAATTTTCGACTAGTTTTGACACTTCAATTACCATTCTGATTCATTTTAATTATTTCTTACTTATATGCTTTAAAGAAAACAGAATTAAAAGTATCTTAAATAATTCTAATTTTAATTATTAATTTTATTATTATTATTTTATCACGACAGAAATACTAATAACGTCATGAATAAGTCATGCTCCAAATATTAAATTCCAACTATCCTAGCAAATGGCAGCACCACATCTATGGGAAGGCCTTTATTATTTTAGACCAAATCTCCAAGGATAGCGTTATCAACTTTCACTAATAAAGAAAATATTATAAATTTCTTACACTGAATCAAATATTGTTGCTGTAATTCCCGAAAATTTTACAATATAAATGCGAAATTGTTCCTTTAAAAGATTTGTCCTTTTTACACAAAACAAGGCCAGTGTTTTATTTGTGAAGACTAGTTACTCTCATCAATAGAATTGTCGATTTGAATGATATATTTTGAAATATAGTGAAAGTTTGTTTACTGTGTCTTAAAAAATCAGTTATTAAAGAGCAAATTTTAATTATAGGAGTAAAAAATCTTGATTCTCTTATAATATATCCTGATTCCTTCCGGTGATACAATGAGTAATTTTATAATTCATTTATATTTCAAAGAAAAAATAATTTCGTGAATTTTAATTTAATTAAATGATACTTGATGTTCAGAATTTTTAAAATAAAATTTACTATTCTTTTTTCAGATACTAGGCTAACTATTTAAAACGAGGGAAAGATGATTTATTCTATGGGAGTGTACAATGTGATGATAATTTCAATGGAAAGATGGCAGCACGTTATAAACTTCATAAAGAAATTCTCTCTTTCTTAAATTACAAAGGTCTTTTTTTTAAATTAATAACATTCATAAATTTCGAAATGTTAGAGGAAGCTCCAAAAAAATCCAAACAGCATAATAAACATGCATGCATTTTATGAGAAATAAATTATCAAATAGTTATTATATCATAATTTAATTATTTCTTAATTATACGAACGATATAATACGTAAATTAAAATAATAATAATAAAATTTTCAGTGATTTACAAAATGCAATAAAAAATATTTTCAGATTCAACTGATCAACTATAGAACTGCCTATCTATAGATAAGCTTAAATTCATTTATAGCTGATAAAGTTTCCCTTTTCTTAAAAATCTCTAGTAAAGAAAAGTCAGTTATTAAACAATTTAAACTTGAAATCGGAACTGCAGTAAATTAATTTTTAATTAATTTAAAAAAATTAATTTTCATTATTTGCAAATTTTTTGTATACCAGACTAGGCGCAGTTATAATAATTTGTTTTGAAAACTGTTTGTTTAATTATGAATTGGGTAACGTTTTTTAACAATTAAATTAAGTAATTCATTATTTTGATTGTGTAGTTTATTTATTTGCAGATTTATTCAATAAATTTTTCATGTGACCATTCTTAAGTTAAATCAAATAAATTTTTTCGGAGGAAACATGCTTTTCACAATTTAACATATACAAATATACTAATTAATTTATATGTTCTCTTAACTATATTTCCAACGAGGTCTAATATATTTTTCAATTTTTTAAAGGAGATGCCTCCATAATTACTTAGGGCTAAAAACTATGTCTACGCCTGCCAATAAAATTAATAATTAATCAATCAATAATTTACGTGTGCTAAGAATATACTGACTCTATTTTTTTTCACTAATCTTTTTTATGAAAAATTATCAAAATTCTTTTTAACTTTTATTTAATGTCTACGAATGTCACTTAATGTTTTTGAATGTTATTTAATGTCACTTAATGTCTACGAATTAACCGTAACTCTTGTTTTTGAGGTGTTAAACACCAATTAAACTTTTCTTCTAACAAGGGCAGTTTTCTTTCAGGAGCAGTGACCAAGAATTTTTTCAAAATAGTTACAAATGCATAAAAAATTCTTGCAAAGAGACAGTCTTTCTTAATTCTCGCCCAAGAATCTGAAAATAAAAAAGGAAAATTTTAATCATATTACTAATAACTTACTTGCTGGTCAAAATTTAAACAAAAGTTTAGAATAATATATATATCCTAATGTCAGGCAAAAGTGATGATGAAGAATGTTTGTGTGATAGAATGACGAAATTCTTAAGCGGTAATTACCATCAATTTCTGGTTATTACCACTATAACATTAATTTCTGGTTTTACTTTTACTCTTATTTGCATAGCAACTGAAAACTTCAGCTATTCAGGCTCGTAAAAGCTAGACAGTACCCCAATCTTATAAATTATATTTTTTTAAGTCAATGTGAAAATTGGAAGAAAAAAATGGGTATACGCAAAAAGGTACAAATAGCTATGGAAAAAAAATAGTTATATCACAAAAGACGGTAAATTGACAGTTATCAAAATATCATAAAATATCATTATCAACGATAGAATATTAAAAACCAATTTGATTGCCTGTTTAAGTCGTTTCTAGTGAATACTTTTTCAAACTCGCACAATTTTTCGAACTTTGTTTCATATACCTGAAATTTCGTGCTTCTCTTACCTAAGTTAATAGAAAAATCTGTTGGTTTTAGAAGAGTTTTATTGTTTTCCGATATAAATCTTCTTGGATTGAAATCAGAATAGTCTTCTCCCCATTTTTCTCGGCTGTGATACTCTGACCAGATATTCATAACAATGAAGGTATGTTTAGGAATAAAGAAAGCATGAATCATAGCATCACCGGAAGTCCTAAAAAATCAAAGAAAATATTGATTAAAATTAATATTAAACTTTTGTAAACTGTTCTTCATTATTTTTTAAGTCTATTATGTTGTGAAGGAATGACATAAATTATAATAGCTCGACCGTGAGTTACCTAAATACATTTTTCAAGTACCCAATACAAATTGGGATGATTGAGTACAAAACCCACATTCGAAATCTCCAATTTTCAAAAAACTCGTGTAATTTTTCCGTTCGTAACTTAGAAAGATTATTATATACTGAAGGGAAAACATTAAATTTTAAATTCTCGATTGCTGATTATCTATATTTCAGTTTAAGTCAACACTGAACATGTGTATAAAAATGTATTTAAATCGTTGGGTTTACTTATTCTTTCAAATCGAAGCTAAATTAAGTATTTTTTGCATTAAAAACGCCGCCTTTAATATTTTCCTTATTTAATTATTTATTCGGTTCTTTGCGATTGCTCGTCAATTAATCTCCCAATATCACCTCCTACCCTGCTGCTTGTAAATGGTCCCAATATTTGATCCTGGAGTTCCCTCGTCTTCTGGGTGGGACTATGAGTTCATAGAGTTGAGCGTTAATAGTAGCAAACTAAGGATAATGAAGATTGAAATACGAAATTAAGTATTTGATTTGCAATAGTTATATTTCAAGATTTTCTGTGACTTGTATAGACAGTAGTTAGTAGATTTTGCTTACGAGATATTTACTTAATTATAAGCTAAATATATTTTATGAGAAATTATAAAGTTAATTTTTAAAAAATTCTTAAACTAGTTTCAAGTGTTAAAAGAAAGACATTTAATTCCTTTAATTCAAATTCATAAAAAATTAAATTAAATAGAAATTTTAAAAGTATGGAATTTTGAAATCTAAATAAATAAGTAAATGCAAATACTCAAATATTAGATAGAATTTCAGAAAGGTTGTGATTTATGAATTAAATAATAGGTTAATGTGTTCGCATTAGGGATGCTCATGATCGTTTGTAGGTTATATCAGGTTATGATTCCATCAGTGTTAAACATTAATTAAAAAAAATTATTTTCATGCTATTCCAGTAAGCACTAAGGTTCGATTTAAAAAAAATTTCTTCGGATGAATTAGTACTTTAAATAATAATAATAAGGAGTTCTAAATTAGGATTTCGCTAAGCAAAAGCAGCTTAATATATTCTGGCCAGCTTAATCAATCGAATCAAAATATGTTCCAAGGTAAGGTGATGCTGACATTTATCTGAATCTAAAAGGACTAAAAGATAATTCAAGTCCCAAGGTGAGCCACTCTCCCCTATACATATTCTGAAAATTTCAACAAAATCAAAGATGTGAACTATCCAACCTAGCGTGACCCTTAAAAAACTGATTCTCAATTCACTTTTCTAAAGTTGTTAAAAAATTAAATAACAATGAATGTTGTTTAGGGCAAATATTTGATAATTAATTTGATAATATCTATTGCATTCGTTTTTGAAACAGCTTCAGATATCTGTTGCAACATTTTAATTTTAGGAATGAAAGATTCTGGATTTCTGGTTCTGAATAAAATAACTCCTATAGACATTCTGATATTTACTGATATTACTGATATTCTAATATTACTGACCTGAAAATATTGCTCAAAGGAAAAAAGGTTTTCCATCTTATCATTTCTAAAATGAAAGATGTTGTGTACGGTACTTCATTGAACTGGATTGCTATGTTAGTTGATAAAGGAGACATGTTTTTGTCTTTTATTTCGAAATATATTCTCCGTTGCAAATTTGGTTGTGCTGCCATCATAAGTAATAACCATTCCAGAGTTCGTTGGAAAAAATTACAGTGAGCTTCTGGATTATGCTTCAAATATTTTTTACTAATATCTGAAAGTATGAAAATAAGAAGTTATAAATATTATTTTCATTATATGCAAAAATGTACACAATCAATGTTAGCTTTCTTTTTAAATCTCAAATATCGAATATTTAATTTCAAAATTAATATCATCATAGAAATCAATGAATCGCTCCAATTCTATGAGAGCTTTAGATTGGATATTTATCGATGCTTCAGATGAAATTAAAATAAGCTACTGAAAAGTTAAAACATACAATGTTTATATTGAAACTCTACAAATATTCAATACAACTGTATATTTGAACTATAGTTTGTATTTTTACAAAATAAGGCAAACAATTTGCTATCTTTGCAAGCCTATGCATTTGGATTGTTCAAGAGATAGAAATTATTACCATATTTTATAGAAGGAAAAAAAAACTATGAAATATACTTACTAATGTTTGTAGTTAGCTTTTTATTCATAATTGTGTATGAATCAATAAGTCTCCAATTTCTTGAACCACTCTTAATTTGCAGAAAACTTGTTTTCCTCTTAAATTTCATGTATTCACTTTCATTCAAAGAAATATTATTTGATTGTATAATCATTTCTTTCCTCTTTATCACTTTTAGATTATTATTATTCCATCGCTCTCCAATCTTTAAGGAGATAGTATTTCTGCTCTTGTATTTCATAAAAAAGTGTACATCCCAGACGTAACTCTAAAGTGAATAAACATAGTTTAAATTTCTTTCAACTGTTAAAGTTTTAAAATATCCTCTTTAAAATTTATCAAAACATTTGAGCAACATACACATCTAGATTAGTTATATTCTTAATTTAAATCAGCTAAGAAAAGAGAACAGTACTTTTTGTTAATACAATTTCGTCAGTTATTTGAAACATATACTATGAATTTAAAAATAATAATAAGTTTATAACATTAACTTCTATCAATAAATTTCTATCAATTTTACTTTAAGAAAACAGCTTTTTATTTCCTTCAATGAATAAATTATTGCTTATTGTTTCTTGTTAGCGTAAACAGGAAACAAACAGCAAAAGGGACAGATTTAGGAAAGGGAGGGGATTTCAAGGAACTGAGAAATATTTATTTTTGCACGTTTTTACAGATTTATACTGTCTATATCTTGCAGATAATTTAATAAATAACTGTTATATAAATAACTGTTATATAAGACACAGAAACGGGTTTAACCTTTTGAAGCCCATGGCTCAACGAGGTCCATTTTATATATTTCTTCTGACTCCCTAATTACAAGTAAGAATATATTTCGGTATTTTTTTAATTATAAAAAGCAATGTAATAGTTGCTAAAAGAAATCTGATTATTGGTAGTATATTTATACTGAAATGAAAAATTCAAAAAGAGTAATTTGACATTTTTTAAATTTATATTTAAAAATCATCAATAATTGATTTTGCAAATTAAAAAAATTTCAATGATGAATAACTGTTTCTCTTAGATCTAAATAGCATCGAATAAGCACAAATTTGAAAAATTATTGTTTGGAAGCTAGCCGTGTTTGGAAAATTTTACCCTTAACTCAGAAAAAGAAACCAGTGTTTCATGTTGCATTTCAAAAATATAATTTATTAAAATTTTAAATGCAATATTTTTCACTTATTTTGACGTAAATTATAGCAAAATAATGAAAAAAAGTGCGAAAAATATATTAATTAATTTGTGTCAAAAGGTTTGAAAAATTTGCAATAAACAAATAAAGTCAAAATATTTAAAATTGTATGATAGTATGTATGCTTAAAATTCTTACCTTTCTCCCTATTAGTTTTCTGTGAAAATTTGTTTCATTACGAATACAAGTTATGTCATCACCTTAAATTAAGCAGCAATTTATTAATACTTAATTGATAATGAACAAATATGAGCTTTAGAAATTTAAGAAATAATAGTTTTATTTTGCTCTCAACAATTTTAAGGGGAAAAAAAGCAAATTTATTTACCATGAATAAGTGAATAAATATATAATTATTGCATTGTTAATATTGATTAACATTTAGTTTTAATGATTAATAATAAGCATTATATTCATAAATAATATTTAAGTTTAATTAATTATAAAACTGTAAAATAATTCTTGTAACAACTTATTTTTTTTATAATTTTAAATACGCTACTAAACAATTATATTATTAAATATACCAACATATTAGAATTTGTTATAAATTATTTTTTCATTGTACATTTAATGTATATATTTCTATTTAATGTATGTATATATTTCTATTTCATGTTTAGGATCTTACATAATTATTTAAAAAAAGGAGATTACTATACTACCCAATATATCATCATCTTCTTCAATGGTTCTATTGAATATCAGCGTAAATGGGTCGTTGACAAAAAATATTTTCTTGTTTGGCTCCAATTCATCAACCACAACAAGCAAAGCAGTTCCTAAGCGTACACTGTAAGAATAACATAGTAATACTTATAAAAAAAATAAGAAACAGTTTAAAATCATTAAACGAACATGCAATCATATTTTTAAAAAAATTCTATCATAGAAAGGACTTTTGGAGGATAGTAGTACTAATGTAAAAGTACTAATGTAATGATGGCATGCCCTAATTAACAATAATATTCAGAAGTTCAAGGATTTTAAAACATTTATTTAACATTATTCATTCCAGTGACACCATTTTTTTCTATGATATTACCTAAAAATAGGTCCATAGATTCTTGCTAATCTTTGAAAATCCAAATAAGGTTTCGGGGAGAGAAAAGGCAAGTAACCCACATAGGGAAGGCCTATAGGTCCTGGTGGTGTGTTTCCACCATTTCTTGTAAAAAACCAGTATAAGACTAAAGCTATCCAGAAAACAAAAACACAAACACTGCTCACTTTCATAATGATGTATGCCCATTAAATTTTGAACTAAAAAAACTGACGATTCGGAGAAAATTCATCTCTTAGAGACAACTAAGGAGACACGTAAAGACAGCTATTGCGTGCAATTCGTGGGTTAAGTAACGCACATCTTTCATATTGCGTTTCTCATTTATAAGGTATTTATTTCGCATCAATTCATATATTTTTCAAGACTTGTTGATGATTCAGTATCAGTCGAGTTTTTTTTATAGCTTTTTAATATCAATTATTTCCCCATCCATGAATTTAGGGAAAGGAACAGATGCAGAAAATTCAATATATTTCGTTTGCCTGCATCATTACACATCGATAAACATATTTGTATTGATTAAAAATATTTTCGAAAAAAATGGGGTGGTTATTTAATGGCTGGCACAGTATTTTGTTTCTTATTTCTCCCCCTAATCACGTTTCTAAAATTTTAGTTTTTTAGAGTGGCCATTATTTGTGATTTGGATTTAGATGAATGTGCAATGAGCTGTTAATAATTAAAAAGTTAATTGAAGAAAGAATGAAATAAATTTCAAAAAATTCGTTACATTTTTGGTTCAAAAAGTTGTTGTGCCATGCATAGAACTGAATTTTCTTTCCTGACAGGATATAAAATGAGACGATTTTTAAAGAGATGTTTCGTAAACAATCCAGCTGCTGTTATTTATTTCAATGTTCGTGAGTGTCTTAATTCATTAAAATTAAAGTTTGAACGTTCTACTTCTACTACTTAACTTTTCAGTTGAAAAATTTGAATCCTCTCCATTTAATGTACAACTAATGATTTTCATACTTCTTACCTACGCATGGTTTGCTCACTGTGCAGGTTGTACAGTACTTTGAATAAATTTTGCTCTAATGACATGATTTTCCTAACTCAGTATCAATAGTCACAGTTTGAAGGAAGGATTTTTAATATACTGATTAATTGGTATTAACTATTTATTAAATTACAAGATCTGGTATAAAAACGCACTTTTTCTAAATAAAAATGCCATGATAGATTTGGATTTCTAATTATCATAATTTGATGGGAATGCGCAATCTGGTCACAATATTAAATAGTACCTATAGTAATAGGTCACAATATTAATAGTAATAGTCGCCTTTTTACTTCACTTTTAATTTAGGCTAATTTCACTTTCTGAGTATTTCGTCATATCTCGGAATATATATATATATATATAATTTTTGATAACTGTTTATTACTTTTATTTAAAAATGGACGATAAAATTTTGAATTGTAAGAAACGTAAATTTTACGTCATTTTAAACGGTACAATTTCAGATTACGAAATAGAAAATTTAAAAAGAATCAGTAAAATAGTTCTTAAATAAAAATTAAAATCAATAACATTTCTGAAATTTTATAACTATATAACTAAAGAAGTGTTCAACTAAACTTTGTATTTTGCTATTTAAAACCATATAAATTGAAAAGTTTGTTGTTTGTAAGTTGAATTGTAAGAAAGAAATTGTTCGTTGTTGAATTGTAAGAAAGAAATTTTATAACTATATAACTAAAGAAGTGTTCAACTAAACTTTGTATTTTGCTATTTAAAACCATATAAATTGAAAAGTAAACATTTGTAAATATCTTCATTATTTTTCCATTACTGAATAATATGAAGAAAAATTTTTTTAAATAAACATTAAAAATTATTTTTTCGTTAGAATTAACTTTAATAAAAAAGTATTTCGTTGTTTCCAAAAAGATATTAATTGACTGAAAACGTTTTCGCGGTAAGGCTTTCTATGATTTAATGAGACTAAATTTTCCATACATTTCAAATCCGTTGGAAAAAAAAGCATGTTTTACTTGTTTATTCACATGAAGTACGTTTTTGTGCCCTATTTTGTAACTTACTTGAATGTTTGTTTTGATGTACGGGGCTCGAGCAATTAAGCATAATGGCAATTAATGTTAAAAAAATTCCAATCATTAAAACAAAGAGCCGTGGTGGCTTAAAAGATAGAGCGTTAGCCTTTCAATGAGGTTAACCAGGTTCGAATCCCAGCTACGGCTGGTCAATACGAATTCCGCACCCGGCTCGCACCAACCACAGAGCTGACGTGAAATATCCTCAGTGGTAAACAGATCATGGATTAGGGTCCCCTTTCCGTATGGCTAACCGAGGGAGATTTTCATGGCTTTCCTCTCCATGTAACTCAAATACGGGTTAATTCTATCAAAGAGTCCTCCACGAAGGCTTTCTCCCAATACTTGATCCAGGCATTCCCTTGTCGTCTGGATTGAGTTCAAAATTACAAGACTAAGGAGTTGAACATTAGTAGTCGTAAACCCAAAAAATTGGGTCGGCTGTTCAAGGATAGTTATAAAATAAAATTAGATTACTTGACAGTAGTAAAAAAAAAAGACACGGTGGACACGGTAAAAAAATTTCAAATTTAGACTCGTATTTATTATAAGAAAAAAGAAAAGAAAAAGAGTTTAATTTCCATTTTTTTCAAGTAGTGGGTGTTGTGGTCAATTAGCCGATGGTAATGCTTAAAAGTTGTGCTAAATATGGACCTTGTTTTTTTATGAAACAAAAAAAGAATAACTGTTCGCTATTCTTTTCGTATTACTGCTGGATAAAAATCATCCTAATTGTCAGTAATGCACGGAATTAACAAGTTCCAACCCAAGTAGAATTCTTAAATACTTGAGCTTGAGCCACATGTCTTATATCAAATTATAAAGATAAATTAAAAAAAAAAAAAAGCTTTATTTCATTATTTGGTAATTATTTTAGAAATTACCCAAATTTATAATAATGATAAATAACACCTTCCCAGTGATAAGATCCATATGTTCGGTGCAGCATATTCAATTCCGGCCCCTATGCTTTTTAAACCACAAATAATTGAATTTATACTGATGAACCAGTTTATGAAACTAGAAAGCGATGAGTTTGCGTGGGCGCACCAATAGACCGTCGCAGACAAATCTGGAAAAGATCTCTCTCAGGGTATAAAGCGCTCGCCTCGCAATGTGGTGACCAAGATCCAAATTTCAGCATTGATTGGTCGATACGAATCCTGCTCCCGATTCTCACCGAGCACAGTACAGACGTTAAATATCTTTGACGGTAGATAGATCATAGCCGGTTAGAATTTCCATGCCGTTGACAAACCGTGAAAGGTTTTCGTGTTTTTCCTCTCTATGTTACGCAAATATGGGTTTGTTCCATGAAAATGTTCTCCATAAAGGCTATTTTGTCCCAATGTCTAGGAGTTCCTTTGTCTTTTGGTTTGGCTTCAAAATTACAATGATGAACAATGATAGTCGTAAACACTATATTAAGTAGTCGGCTATCAATGTCGGTTAGAATATTTATGTAGTATATAATAGTGGCAGTCGTGCGAGCAGAACGAACAGGCACAGGATTTTAAAAAGAGCAAATTATTTTATTTAATCATTATGTGATGATGGAAATCAAAAGAGTAAAAAAAAATCATCGTGCTGCTCAATAAAAGTTAGGGAAAATCTTGCAAAGAAAATCCGTAAAATGTCTCGTTTAGGGAATAAGGGAAATCTTAGTAATTGTAAATGGTTTATTAAACAGGTCGCGCGATTCCCACAAAGAGTAAAGGGGGAAATGTGTCACTTTTAATTATTGCATATTTGAACCAAAAATAGATTAAAAGACTGGATGTGAACTTTAAAGGGTGATAAAGAGCGTTTCGTTTTGAATAAAATAAATGATAAATGGATTTACTGAAAAGGAATAGCATAAAAAGATTAATTGAAGCTTTATATATATACTGACATGATATATATGTATTTTTAATTCCCCGGGAATCTTCTATAAATAATTCATTATGTACATTCTCGGCAAAGCCGACACATCCGTAATCGGAATCGGACATTTTATTTTCTATCTCTTCAAACAAGGCACTATTTTTTTTTTTTCTAAATTTGAAAAAAAAAAAAAAAAATTTCTACTTTAAATTTGAAGAAAAAAATATTCAACTTTTCTCCATTTTTAAAGCATGTAAATTTTTAACCTTATCTATAACTAAAAATATTACCAAGCTATTTCACTACAAAAAAAATCAATCTTTCTCCAATCACCTTGCCTTATCTTTGCAAAGAAAGGAAAGAAAGATACTGCTCATTCGGACAGCGGCATCCTTTAATCATTTCATCTGAATGACACATATGGGACTCCACAAGACGTCTTAAATGCTCTCAATGCTTCTTCCCCACTGAAAATTTCTTTCATTTTCTTATAAATTTGAAGACTGTATTTAATACAGCTGGGGTAAAAAAAGAAAACAAATCTTTGAGGTGTTCATATAAATGAAACATTTATTCAGACACTTGATAGATGATTAATTGTGAATATATCAACTCCATAGGTCCTCTTAGCTTATAAATAAGCATTGATTTCTTTTGTTTTCTATGAATCACGGGAGGTTTACTTTCAATTTTCAAGTAGGTATTAACCATGTCTCCTATCAAGTGATGGGTAGATGTTAGGGAGTGTAAACCTAATAGTAATTGAAACCGACTGAGTACTAAGGCTCCTATACGGTATCATATGACTAACTTGAATATCTGTGTTAATAGGAAAATTATATTTATTTATCTGTAGCGACATCTAGAATTATGTGTTTTTATCAAGCTTTTTTATATATTCTTTTTGCATAGAAATTATTATTATTTTTTTTTAAGTTTAAATAAATATCCTTGTTGATAGTTGCTGCAGATTATTTATAATTATTTCTATATCATTGAAACTATTCAAAAAATAATTTACGGCGTTAAACTGCGTTATTAGGGTACCCTTACCATAAACGGAGATTTTTTTTGGCCCCAAGAGGGTCCACATAATCGAGGCGCAGTTGGATCAGCTAGTCACCACAGAAGGCTTAAGCCTTCTGTGGTGATATAATTATAATTATAATTATAATTATATACTATTCCTAATCTCTTGTGAAGTGGGTAGTTTTCGTTTGATTTTTAGGCAGTTCCTTGGGGA